GGCCGCGGTCAGTGGCGCGCGCGCTGGGAGGCGAGGCGCAGGAGCGGGGGCCGGGGCGCCGGGCCATGGTGTCCACGGGGAGGGGTGGCCGCGCCGCCCCCGCTCGGGGTCACGCGGCCCCGCCCGGCGCGGGTTGTCCGGGTCACACAGATCCGCCCTGGCAATCAGAGGCCCCCCAAGTCATAAAGACTCGAAAGAGTCACAACCGGCCCTGGACCCCACCCCAGGTCTCCCTCGGACCCTCACTCCCGTTGGCCCTAGAGGCCCGCGCTTGGGGAGCAGAGGTGGAGATCATAGTCCCCAGGGTGGACACGCAGGGCTGGGGGGCTGCACACTGGCTGTCCCTTCCTGGGCTGTGGGGAATCGGGGTGGTCAGGACGGCTTCTCCATCCCGCAGAAGAACCTGAGGTGGCCTTGGTGTCCCCAGGTTCACTCGTGGAGGCCTGTGCCGTCACCCCCCACGTGTTCCAAGTGCGCCCAGTATCCCACGCCACCCAATCCCTCCACAGCCTTCCGTGTCCTCCTTCCTCCCGCCTCTATGGAGGGAGGGGGGAGTAGGAAAGACCCACCCACCCAATCAATGGTCTTTGCTGGCAGGAAATTTCTGAAACATCATCTTTTTTTGGTTTTAAAGCTTCTTTATTTTGCACTTAACTTCCCAGGATAACCCAAAAGTGAGGTTCTGCTCCCATTTTGCATTAGCTCTGGCCAACTCAGTGCCGGCAGGCAGTTCCCCTGGGTGGGGAGGGGTCTTTGCGCCCCTTCCCTGTCTTCACCACTCCAGCCACTAGGCTCTCAGGGGTCCCCACCTCCACCTGGCCTCAGGGATTACATAAATCACGGACAAATTAAAAAGTGGCCCTCACCTCCACCAGCCCTCCTATACTTTCCTCTCAGTTCAAGCCCTGGACAAAGAGATCCCTAAGGGACTCAAAATAACATAGGCCACGTTTACATGTTAGCATTTATTCAGGAGTCATTAAACTATATCAAACAAATGTAAATTGACAGAAAAAGAATCGTACATTTTTAAAACCCCATTTGTCTGGATTTCTCAAGCTCTATCTGAAATAAAGTGCAAGCCAGTACCAAGCCCTAGGTGCCTAATTCCAGCTCTAAGACTCAGACTTCTGGGACATCCAAGGAAATATCAGAGTGGCCTGTGCTGTCTCCGTGGCTCCCGTCCCAGGCTCCTGAGCAGATCCCCCCACTGGCCTCCTCGCCTGGGAGCTGTAGGAAGGGGAGGTGACCTCGACTGTGGCCGGGGGGCCTGCACGTGTGCAGGAAAGAGCCGTCTCCCCTGCTTTTGCTTATTTGGGGACATGGCCAAGGACAGCAGACAGGGGCTGGCTGGCTGAGGACAATGCCTCCTCGGCTGGCACTCTCCCCCTTTCCCATGTCTCTTCTGCCTTCTTCCCGACCCAACCTGCCGTGAATGCTGTGAAGACACCCTGGCAGCCAGTCACTCGTGCTGAGCAATGAGAAACCGGGGAGGATCCCTGAATCCCACCCCCCCCCCAGGTCTATACCCAGTCAGCCCCCGCCAATCCTCACGAACAAGCTACAGGAAAGAGCAAACGTCAGCACCTTCCCGCACAACCGCTGAGCTCCTCACGTGAAGCAGACACAACCACTTGCACGTGCAGCCTTGTGAATGCAGATACTGGCCCCAAGACAGTTCCTGAAACCATGAACGTTTCCATTTTCAGAAGGTGCTCCCCGCCCACTGGAGACTTACCAGTGCCCATGTCAACTGAGAAAAGCTAATCGTTCTTCCAGAAAATTCCAGGTATACTCAGGGGACAAGGAGACAGCACACAATTCTTGGCGGTGATTTTAACTGAAGCAAATGTTATTCTCACACCCAAACCGTCTTCGCTGTCTGGCAGGAGGGGCAGTGACAGATGGAAGAGACCCGTGGCCTGGGCTGGACCTCAGGTAAGTGAGGTCAGGAAATGGAGGGAGCTGGAGAATGCCCAGTGATGACCCCCATGAGGGTTCTGGGGGGCATCTGTCTCACGTCTTGAGAATGGTAATGGGAGTGCCAGCAGAACCCATGAGAGGAGGTAGGGGGCCCAGCCCCACCTGCATCACCAAAGCCAATGAGACCCAGAAACGTGGCCCAAGTTTCTACCTTTGGCCCCACCCCAAAGAACACTGAGCTGTCACAGTGGCCAGGGTCACTCTTAGTGTGGGTGTTGACAAAAGGGCTCAGGAGCTGGGTACCACCCAGCACAAGTGCAGACAGCCCCTGCTGACCTGGGCTCTGCATACCACACATGACACGGACATCACCGGCACCAGTGAGTGGGCAGGGTCCTTCTGGAACGGCTCGGTCTAAGACAGAGGGCAGAAGTTCGGGCACGTGAGCGCCACACAGGCACAGCCATGGGTGTGGGGGCTGCCTGTGACCACGGTCCTGCGGAGAAGGGGCTCCCCACACAGCTCTGCTCCGTGGTCAGAGACGGTGCTTGGCAGACACGTCTCCAGAGAGAAACGCCCGAGTCGGTAAGACCCACGTGGGGCCATCCACAGCCCGGCTGTCGACTGCTTAAGGTAAGTGCTCGACAAGAATGGGCCCGGGAAACCAGCGAGGTGAAGAAGGAGCAGACGGGCGGCTGGCCGCACGTGCAAGGCCTGCCTAGGCGTCGGTGCCGGGAGGGTCTGGCTCCAGCACAAGCCCCTTCCTCACCTGAGAGCCCCACACCACGGTGCGTGCGGTGGCGCCTTGGGGGTGAGGAACTGAAAGACTCCTAAGCACAAAATGGTCAACACTTGCCTATTTAACAACTAAGCTACTAAAAGAAATGAAGACTCCACCTTGCAGCCTGGCCTGGACGAAGGTGAAGGGCAAGTTAGAAAGTGGTAGCTTCAAGACAACTAGCCAGGCAGGGGCCCTGCTCCTGCCTCGGTCTCCCCGCCCCACGGTCACTGGGCCATCTGCACCACGACGGCCCTCCACGCTTTCTCCTTGTCGAACTCCTTCAGGGGGCTTCTGGATACCTGTGGCCAAACAGGCAAAGTGTTATTTCTTCCGGGGGCCACCCGAGTGCAGGAGGCAGGTGGGAAAGCTCTGTTAACTCGAGAGCTTTTCTCAGCCTGTGAAAAAAGGACAGGAAACAGCCCTGGAGCCCCGAGGGGACACAGAGGCCCCCGTTCCTCCACCCTCCCACAGACCAGCCCCTCTGTCCCAGTCCCCGCAGAAACACAGCCTGGGCAGGGGTGGGCTGTGGGGGGGAGGCGGGGGGGGCAGGCTGCCATGGGGTGAGCACCTGCCTGACAGCTGACGGGACATGGCCTGCGTCCCAGCATCGGGCAGAGCAAGCAACTACATACAGTGGGTGCCCAAAACATACCCACAGATGGTGCCATCAATCTAAGGGACGGGTGCCCCCACACAGAAGGCCCCGGGTCCAGCCCTGTGTGTATGCAGGCACCATCGGGGGTGGGACACCCAGGGAAGGAGGGCACTTGAGGCAAAGGTGACCAAACATCTCCAGAAACAGGGAGGGCAGCTGCAGGCCCCAGAGCCTCTAGAACCTTCTGTTCTGGAACCCGGTGGGAGCATGCATTCACCAGACTTGGTGCCCCCACAAAGAACCAGGTGGATCTCTCAAAGGGCCTGGGGGCCAAGCCATCCCCACAGGAGACCCAGCCAAACTGGTAAAAACAAGGAAATGCCCCCATCTGCAGGTTCCAAGGAAGGGAAGCGCAGGAGAGGATGAAGGCCAGGGTTGCTGAGGAAGAGCTGACGGCGGGAACGCAGGCACACTCGCACAAAGGCCCCGTGGTTGGTAGTACCAGGTGGGAGGAGGGTCTGGTCCACCCACGGCGTCCCTCGTGGACCCTGTAGCAGCCTTCCCAGTACACAGCGTAAACACCTCTGGGCCAGCAGCTCCTGGGGAGGAGACCCTGGCCCCCTCAGCCCTCCAACTGTGGGGGGTGGGCAAGACCCAGTGGCCCGGAGACTGGCAGAGGGGCTTGCATGACCCTCCAGAGCCTGCCGGACAGAGGTCACTGAGGCCACATCTATAGGGAGCTCAGTGGGCACCCCTTCCCATCAGAGCCGCGCCCCTGAGAGGGGCCAGAGAAGGAACTTCTGTGGCTTCTGGGGATCCTGGCCAGCTTCCTATCCATGTTTGCAGGAGTAAAACTGAAGGCATTCAGTCTATACCGTTTTCAGGACTGGATCTGTATTTAGGGCCACCCCACAAGGACGGGGAGATCACCGTGTTGAAGGCCACTCACCTCCCCTGCTGGGCGCTCCTGCTGGCCGGTCTGCGCAGCATCCCAGGACGCGCCCAGCTTGAAGCTCACGCACTGGATGACGGTGCCAGTGTTGAGGCCGGCTTGCAGCAGCAGCTGCAGCATCAGAAGCAACCGCAGCACGTCGTAGGATTGCTGGTGGGAGACGAGGCGGTGAGCTCACGGCCCGCCCCGGCCCCCGGCTCTCAGCCACCCGGGCCTGCCACCTGCACCGGGGACGCCACGCCCTCCAGCCCAGGCAGCCGTGCAGGCAGCTCCCCTCCTCCCGCACACCCCCCTTCTCCCCAGGACCTTCCCAGAGCACTTGAGTGAGTTGGCGTGAATCGATTTCAGGTTTTCAGGTACGTACACTTCTGCTGATTTCAGGAACCTGAGCAGTAATCATTCTGTCTCGTGAGTGGGAGTCAAAGAAATCAATTCTGTAAGTCGTCACCCCGGGTTTAACAGATGCCGTAAGAATGGCCCCCAAGCAGCGGAGCCCTGTGGGTAGCCTGGGGGCTCACTGTCAAGTCTCCCACATCCTGTAACCACCACCGATAGAGCCGGTGACACAGAGGGTGTCCGTATGGGGTGAAGGGACCGGTTACGAGGGCTCTGAGCCGGAGACGGGGCCCCTGGGCACTGGTGCACAGACACCATCAGCAGATTCTCCTGGAGCTCAGGCTGGCAGCTGTTGGAGGGAAGGGGGCTGAGGAGTGCCCGGGGTCAGAGGGGGTGATGGGGGCGTGGGGGAGCCTTGGCGAGCAAAGGGTCCAGTGAGCACCCAGCCCTCCCAGTCGCAGGCATCCTTCGGCAGAGACACAAAGCAACCAAATGATAACACAAAACCCCCAGCTCCATACTGTGTCACTGTTGAGAGAGAGGGAGGGAGGGAGGGAACGGGAACAGAAACACCTCTCCTCAAGCTAATGTACAAGTTTAGCCACAAGCCCCATTTGAAAAAAAAAAACAACAAAAACCACTGTTTTCTGGAGCCAGGAAAGTTGATTCTAAAACTTACATAAAAAACACGCAACAAAAGTGAGGTAACCCTGAAGAGCAGAGTGATCAGGAACTGGGCATCCAGCCCGCCAGCTGGCGAAGCCTGTTCGAAAGCTTCCGTAATCGGGACAGGGCGGCACCAGACAGCAGATGTAGGAGAACGACAGGTGCAGACACAGACAGAAGCTTAACGTGTGATACGGGCAGCATCTCAGATGACCGAGGAAAACGATGGGTGTTTGAAGCCCCGAAGAGGAAAGGCGAGTTCCTTATGCTCCAGGATAAACTCCCACTGGACACACAAGTAGTCGTCTTTTTCTTTTTAAATGTTTATTTATTTTGAGACAGAGAGTGATAGAGAGCAGGGGAGGGGCAGAGAGAGGGAGACAGAGAATCCTAAGTGGGCTCTGCACTGAGGCTCAATCCCGCAAACCGTGAGATCGTGACCTGAGCCAAAATCAAGGAGTAGCCTTTCTAGTTGCGGCTTAAAATCCCAAAGCAACAAATAAATGTGTTGACAAATTTGACCACAAAGAACAAACAAACAAAAAACTTCCTCACGACAAAAATCACGAGTGGAACGAAAACCAGCTGGCCCGTGGGAGCCACTATCCAAATCTTCTGTTACAGAGGAGACACCCAAATACTGGTGAAGCTCAAAGTCCACTAGACAGTGAGCAAAAGACGGGACAGAGCTTACTGGAAAAGAAATGCCAAAACCACCAGGCACAAAGGCCCAGAGTCTCGTGTCCAGAGACACGCACACTGCAGCCCCACCAGGCACGCTGGCTCACCCACGTGACAACACTGGGTGACAACGCTCTGTGCGGGGCTGGTGCTCGTACCAGCGGTGGGACGGAAAATAGGGCCTCCCGTGAGGGGGACTCGTCACCATTTCCCCAGACCAGAGATGTGTCTGCCCTCTGGCCCAGCAACCCCTCTCCGAGCTCACTGTTCTAATGTCGCACCACACAGACTCCAAACCAGGCGTGGGCACTGAGTTATTCGTAACAACAGCAGAAACTGGGAGCAATCTGTCTCCACCCTTTAGGGACAGGCTGGGAAAACTGTGTGGCGTCACAATGTGCATGTATAATTAAAGGACACAGAAAAGCTGCTGTCCTCGATGTGAAGAATGCAAACAGAAAATATGGAAGTCGACCACGTATCAAATCAATACTACAAACACGCAGAAAGGGGGCTGTTTCTCTCCTGAGTGGGGTGAAAGCGAGCTGTAAACTCACTCGGCAGGTGTGCTGCTGGTGGTAACATTGGTGGTGCAATTGTGACAATTTTTACATACAAGATAAAATAATAGCTACCCTCAATATTATCAGGAAACAAGATTTTGGAGTAAAAAGAATACTAATACAAAACAACAGAAGTTCACAACAACAACAAAAAATCCAGCGTGTAATTCTGAACTGGAAATACAATATCAATTCAGGATCTTGACAGAGGCTGAGAAGCAATGATGCCCCCGTATGAATGAGCACACGCAGCCCTCAGATCTTGATGTCTATGTACGCCTCCCTCTGAGGGGCCTGCGTGGGTCTGGGGCGAGGCAGGATGAAGTGAGCCTGGGTCACCCCCCACGTCTGCAAGGAGAGGCTGACGGGTTACTGCAGGGAGCACCGGGCTGCAAGGTGCTCCCTCCAGCCACAGCTGGGCCAACATGAGCATCAGAGAATAATGACAGCAGCACTGTGCAGATAACAAAAACCCGTGAGTCCTTGGCGGTGCTCGGAAGGGAAGAGGGACAGGAGAGCTGGGCGTCTATCACCTCTCTTCACCCCTAGGTGTGACACAAGCGCTCAGGCCGGGGCCAGCCGCCAGGGCTGGCCCCGCACAAGGTGTCGGGACAAGGCACCCGCAGGTGTCCGGCTGACACCATGGCTGTCTCCCTCCTGTGAGAGCCCCACCCACCGCCACCACCAAGAACACTCTGGCAGCTGCCGCCCAACCAGGCTGGAGGTGACAGCACGTGCTCTTGGCCTCACTCCCACTGGTGTCACAGGAAACAGATCCACACGTGGGACCTTCTCCCAGACCACTGGCCAGGACTCCAAACTATCAGGGCCACAGGGGAAAAGGTGGGGACTGTCCGGACTCGAGGGAGACTCAACGGCAAGTTGTCGCCCCTCAGCGGGTCCTGCTCTGCGAGCTTCAGCCTATGAGGCACATTCTTGGGACGGTCTGTGAACACTGAACGTGACGCTGCATGATTTTGGGCCTCTCACATGCCGTGGTGGGATTGTGCGTGTGTAAGAGGCAGTCCTTCTAGAAAAGTTAAAGTATTTAAAGTAAAGGGTCCTGCTGTCCCACACCTGCCACTCACTTTCAGATGCTCCCGAGAAATGGTCCCACCCGTCAGTATGAACACACATGTACACACAACACATAAAGCACTTAGAATCCTGGTGTTTACTGCGGTGTTCTCTCAACTTTTCTGTACATTGGAAATGGCCCACGAAAAACACCTGGGAGCAAATACCACGCGTGCTGGTGACAACGTAAGGCATCTAAGAAACCAGCCTAGTGACGTGTGTCTGAGCCTGTGGAGACAGTGAAGTGCCAAGAGACCCCAGACAAGTTCTAGTTAGAGGTACGCTGTGTGTGCAGAGACCCAACTCTCCTCACGTTTATCTATAAATTTGTGATTCCAACGGAAATTCCAACAAGGTCTCTCATACAACTGGATGAAGGATAGCTTCCAAAGTGAGAACGGAAGGAAGAAGGGCTGAGAAAATCCAACAGCATCATGAAGGAGGGGTGTCTAGGTGGGACGCAGGGCCGCCTGAGACCAGGCAGAATCGCCCGAAGTTAGAAGAGGCAGCCTGCACGGAACAAGACTGCATGGGCATCAGAGAAGGGAGTGCAGACACCTGGCTGTCCGCGCAGAGAAGCAAATTAGACGTGGCCTCGTGCCACATGCAGAAGCAGCTGCACGCAGGTCAGACGCTCACGCGGGCCACCTGTCCCTCGAGACCCTCCTCCCACACAGCCTCTGGCAGCAACACCAGGTTCCCACAGGGTTCTGACAGAACGACGCATACCTTGATGGCTGGCGGGTAGTCTTTGAAGATCTCCAGGATTCTCATGATGCTGAACGACAGGTACCCAGAGGCAGTGAACAGCAGCGGGGACGTGAGGCTGCAGATGGCAATCAGCACCTCCACCTGACGGGAAGCAGGTGAGAACGCGGGTCTGGCCGGCCCAAGGGGCCTGGGAGCCGCTGTCTGCACAGGCAGGGGTGGACGTCTGCCACAACGTGAAGGGAGGGTGGACGTGGCCCTGGGCTCAGCACCAGGCCCTCACCAGGCTCTCTGCACTCGGTAACCATGAGCTCCATGCGTGGCTGTGTCCCACCAGATCCCCTGCCTCGCGCACAACTAACCACTCTGTTCAAAGAGCAACACAAACGAACGGCCGGCCTTCCCGCTGCCCTAAACCCTGTTCTTTTAAAACCCCACCCACATCGGAGGCCGCACAGCCGCGTGCAGGTGCTGATAAAGCACGAACTCAGGTGTCACTGTCAAACAACAGACCTGACAAGACTCAGGATGGGCCGGAAGGACCAGGTGTCGTCCCTCCTATGCTGAGTCACAGGACTCTCCTGACTTTCACACCAGATGTGCTCACTTCCAGCCCTCAGAGTGCCACACAGCCCTCGCCAGGCCGCCCCTGGCTCGGCACCCTCTCAGGCTCAGCCCCGCAGCCCTATCATCGTGGGGGAGAGCCCTGTCACATGGCAGCCCGGGAAGGGGTGAGCCAGGCCCTAGCAGTGCACAGCAGGTCCCTGGTACCAGGGGACAGGGCCTCACTTACCAGACACTTGCTTGGACACTCAGCTGTGACGTGACTGGCAATGGCGCTTGGAAAACACTAAGAGAAAACAAAACACAAAGATTTCAGAGGGGACAGTCAAGGAAGTTAATTCCAATCACGTGCTCCTGTTTTGATGGGCACATCCTTGTGGCCAGTAGAGCCAAAGGCTGCCTTCCTGGCTAGGGGGCTGGCAGGGCTGGAAAGGGCCAGAGGGAAGCGGGGTGGCCTCTCCGAGGCCTCATGTGCTCTGTTCCATGGCTGCAATGCACGTCTGCAAAGAAGCTGCAAGAGCCACACCAGGAGTGGCCTGGACGTCCCGGAATTGCTGCCTGTGACATTTTGCCACCTCGGCTGAGATCGGGGACACCTGCCCTGAGTATGCGTGCGTGTGCCTGCTGAAACTGAGGCCATTCTCCTGAACCATCTCAATTCAGCATCACACTGAGGAAATGTCATACAGATTATGTGTGTTAACTGTGTTCAGATTCTCCCAACTACCCCAGTGATGTCCTGTCATACGTGTTCTTTGTTCCTGGTTTAGGATGCAATCAGTGATCACAATGTGCTTATGAGTCCCCTTGACCAGGGAGACCTAGGTCATTGTCAGATGCAGAGGTCCTGAAGAGCACACCAGCTAGCTGCAGACGGGCATTAGCTGGGGCCAGTCTGGTGCTTCCTCATCATCAGACTCAGGGAGCCCCAGGAGACATGGCTCCCCGCCAGGCCACCCACCACACTATTGCCTAGCGGTTAGATGGGCTCTTCAGTGGCTCTCCTCCACTAAGAGGGCCCTTTCCTCTTTATACTCAATAAACGTCTTTTTCCACTTATTTTAAGAAGCTTGACTTAGTTTCACGCCATTCCAGCAGAGAGGGAAGCATAGCAGGGCACGTCCTTCCCAAGGTGCCAAGTGCTGAGCCTATTAAACCCACTGAGCCCATGGGCCCAGGTGCATCCAAGGTCTAGTTACCTGGCCACACGCACAGCAAAGGAAATGACCATACGCTGGGTGGCAGCAGACTCCTCCCCTTCGTGGGAGGATCTCAGCACCCTGGACACCGGGGGGGACATCTATACTTGTTCAGGAATCTGGCCTGAGGGTGAGTGGGACAGAGGCAGGCTTGAGGCCACGAGATCCCCGGCAGCAGCTAGAGGGCTGAGAGGGGAGCAGGCCAAGGATGGCGGGGAGAGCAGCACTTTGGAGGCCCTGGTGTGGGCGTGACAGATAAGCTCATTATGGACAGGGGTGTGGGTATGGCTGCAGGGGTGGGTGGGCCTGGCCCAGGGAGTCTGCTCACTCTAAGGAATGCGAGAGGTGAAGGTGTCCATGCAGGAACCTCCCCCCAGATTGGCATTTCCATCAAGGCTCTATGGCTGTAAGCAGAGGAGGGGCTGCGGATGTGGAACAGCCACTCAGGAAGTGACTGGAGTGGCCCCAACAAACGTGGCGGGGTGGGGGCCCAAGTTTGCTTACCACCCCCTGGACTGGCAGGAAACTGGCCCATGGGGAGGAGGGCAGTTGATACACACCCGCTCGTATACAGATACGTACCAGGCCTAGGGAGGCTGCAGGGACAAGCTCTCGGCCAGGCCCCAAGCCCTGGACCCCCGCCTGGTCTACGTCCTTGGCCTCTCCACGGTCTCCTCCAACCAGGACTGGGGCAGGTAGAGCTGTCTGACCCTCCCACCCCGGGGCAGAGAGGGAGGAGCATCTGCAGACAAAGGGCCAGGGAGGCTGGGTGTGGGGGAGATGGCCACAGCCTCTGTGGTGGATGTTCAGGCAAGTGGCTCTGCACTATAAGCTTTAGGGCAATATTGGGTCTCTGTCCTCAGTAACTCAAGGACATAATTCCAAGTGCTTCCATGTCACCTCAGAAGTTAAACATGCAGACGCGCCTTTTTCACAGCCTCACTCACTGGGGCAGGCACAGAGGCAAGCACTCTGTGAGTCCCACCTGCGCACTGGCAGCGGGTGACCAGGTGCGTGACCCCATCCCACGGCCTCCCTGCCTGCTCTCTCTCCCCAGGCTCCAGTCCTCGGGGAGTACCCAGGGCTCAGCAAGGTTGGACACAGGCACCCCCAGTGTTGCTGAGCCCCAGGACGCAGCAAGGAGTCCAGCCCCAGCACCCGACACAGGCTGCTGCGGCCCAGCCACGCCAGTCTTGGCCTTCCCGCAGCTGAATGCACATGTGGTCAGGACAAAGACCACCCTCTCGAGGCAGCATCAGGAAGAAGAGCATGTGGACGAGCTGCATATGCTGTGTCTCGGTCGTTCATCCAGGATGACCCCGGACAGCAGGGTGGGACAAACCAGGCCCTTCCCGCAGGCATCACCATGTGACACAGTGACACTGCAAAATAGTCATGGGATGACGATGTCCGGAAGCACAGGGTGCAGGTATTTGGGATGTGTCACTTGACTGTAGGATTTCAGGCATGCAGGGGTTGCTTTGAACTGTTCCACGCAGATGGGAGGAGCCCACACCAGCCAAGGCCCCTACCCAAATGGGAGGCACTGGGTCAGATGCTCCACGGGCTGCGTTTCTGTTAAACACTAAATGACATTAACTTGTGCAAACAAACTTAGTCGCTCATAAAATGATGAACGAGCCATATGTAACACAGTGACCACATATATCAGGCACTTATCATGCACGCACGAAGCGTTGTGCTGGGAGTTTACCACAGTAGTATTTAATATAAAATAACAGCATAAACATATTACATTTTACAAAACACACATTGGGAAACAATATGTTACGCATTCTAGACCTGATGTAAAATAACGTAAAATAATCATTCTTCGTTCTTCAAGAAAAAGTAACATAAAAACATGAAACAATATCGATTCGCATTAAAACAATTAACAGGGGTGCCTGGGTGGCTCAGTTGGTTGAGCATCTAACTTCAGCTCAGGTCATGATCTCATGGTCTGTGAGTTCAAGCCCGCATCGGGCTCTGTGCTGACGGCTCAGAGCCTGGAGCCTGCTTCAGATTCTGTGTCCCTCTCTCGCTCTGCCCCTCCCCAGCTCATTCTCATTCTCTCTCTCTCAAGAATAAATAAACATTAAAAAAAAAAAAAGTTAACCTTCTGACCCATTTTATCTTTGATTCTCAAATTCCTCCAATTGTGGGGCCAGCAAGGACCCTGGCGCGGCAGCCAAGAAGCGTCCTGCTTGGCCTGCCAGCAGCCACCTTCCACCCTCTTCTCTTCCAGCTGCTCCCTTGCCTGAAATCCACCAAAGCTGAGCTCCAAGACTGGCAGTGACTGTCTTGGGGACAGTAGCCAGGGCTTGGCCAGTGGCCGGGTGACCCGCACACATATGAGGGCCACAAGGGTGTACTCACGGCCACTAAGATCCAAAAGAACGTCACGGAGAGGTGTGGTCCCGAGACAGCATCATCCACGTTCAGAGCGATGACCCCACCCAGGACGGCAGAGACGCCAGCAATCACCTCGATGACCTGGAGGGACAGAGCACATAGGCAGGGCCACCGAGGGAGTGTCTCTCATGCTGCAGGTGGGCAGGGGGACGTGAAGAGGATGTTCTAAAGAGCTCAGGGCAAAGTAGCCATAGGCCCTATGTTGAAATGTTGAGGATGATCTCTAAAAGAACACCAAAAAATGCACAGCTCCCAACTCAAAATTACTGGAAAAGGAAAAAAGTGGGAGAAGAAAGGACGAAGCTCCCACCAATTCAAAGGAAGGCAGGAAAAGCAAGAGAAGGCATGGAAACTAGGCAACAGAAAGGTGGCAAAACAAAGTACAGATGTGGCAGTGCAGGACGCAGACTCGGTGAGGCCACCAAGAGGGTGACAGATGAGGGAAGGATGAGACACAGTCCCACGCTGTGACAGCAGCATCCTGAACACAAGGACGAGACAAGCTGATAGTCAGGGCAGGAAGACACAGCCCGCCCGTGCTAACCAAAAGAGAGCTGTGCACTTGACCAGTCAACACAGACTTTATGGCAAAAGCCATCAGCAAGGGCAGATTTGCTAAGTAATCGTGAGAATAGGAAACAACTGTGAACTTGTACATGACAAAGCCCCCAAAACCCATGGCAAACAGCTACGGAACCACACACAGAAATCACGAGCACTATGCTCAGAGCAGGGGGCTTAACACATCTTCCACAGTATTAGGACAAGTGAACCAAAGAAACAAGCTAGAAACACATAAAAGACTTGCAATACAGTTTACAAGGGAGGGCAGCCACATGATCTATCCTTCAAACCAGGACAATTCTGAGTGACAGGGTGAACTTAAGAATTCCTTGTGGATGGCAGATGTCACTCAGGACAGTGTGTCACCATGGACCTTTCCCAAATAAAATAAAATAAAATAAAATAAGAAGGAAAAATTTAAAGTTTATCTTACTGAATAGGATTTCAGGACCCGAGCAGGAAATGCCACTTCATACAAAATGTTGGTGCTATCTGACATGGAACCCTAAAGAGAGACAGACAAAATGTTTGGCCTGGTGACTTTACATGTGCTGTGGCAGGGGGGTGGGGGGGGTGGGGAGGGAGAGGTGCACCCTCGCAGCCCACTGCCCAGGCTGTTGGCACTGGCTGGCCACGTCCAGGCTGTCACTTCGGCCGGGTTCTAAACTACTAGCATGTGGGAGCCACTGGTGGCTCTTTAGACTTGAGCTATTCCTTGCATGTGAAAACAGAATTAGCTGCTGTGACCCCAGTTTACAAGGTGACACTTTTAGCAGACCTGGTCTCTCGACGGGAAATGATGGGGCACCGGTACTTGATCAGAATCGCACCATGGGCAAGTTGTGTCGCATCTTCTACCTTGCCTTCCTGAGGCCATCGGCCTCGTGAGACCCTGGCGGGCTGGGGCCGCGTGCGGTGCCCTGGGGCAGCCTACCCTCGTGTGCATGGGTGAGTGTTCTGGGGGGCCTGCTGCATGCCCCGTGCGGCGCAGGGCTGCACCCACCTTCTGCTTACAATACGCCTCGCTCGACCGTGCTGAGACGATCACCGTGGCTGCCGTGAAAAGCTCCAACAGAAGGAGAAGAACCAGATTAAAATTTATCTGCCAAAAAAGAACACATAGGTCTGTAAGACTAGTTCTCTTCCCTTTTCCTTCTGTAAACATAGACAGAGGCTTAGACACCTGTTTAAAACTCTGGGCGTCTTTTTCTGTCAAAGGCCAGATGCCAGGCACAGGGGCCATACATCCCCTCTGATTCAAGTGTGTCTCTTTTGTTTTGTTTAAATCATTCTTAGCTCAAGGGCTTGCTGTGGCCACTGCGCTGGAGGCTACTCACCGATCTAAACCTTCCTTAGTGGTTTGCCCCCTGGGTGTTTAAGGACGTTTTGAAAACCCGCACACCTTTACATAGCCCTATGCATAACTGCCAAAAACCGAACAGGGCCTCAGAGGTGATAAAACCGTTCCATGTCTTAATTGTGTTGGCAATTAAAGGAATCCATCTCTGTATTCATAACCAATGAATAAAAAACTAAAAAAAGTCAATTTAACTATAGGATTTGCAAACCAGCCAATATGGAGCCCTGGCCCAGCACCCCCTCTGTGGGGCTCCCACACTCAGGGCCTCCCTCACCTGCCCCCACCACCCCGGGCAGGTGCCCGACCACTAGGGGATCCCTGGGGCCCAGGGACGTGATTCACACCAGCCAGTTCTAAGCCTGCACCTGCCTCAGCCACAGGAAAGTCTCCCTCTCTTGTTCCCGCTCTGCCTCCCGACCGCCTGGTGCTTCCCCCTGTGGCCCCCAGCCTGGGCACATCGTGCCCCCTCCCCTTGGGACCTGTGAGTGATGAGCTGTCTTTCCGATGGCAGTTGTCCCCTGATCTGTTGGCCTCCCCAGACCACAGTGATAATAAAACCTATGTTTAAAATCAAATGAAATTCATTATTTGATCTATAGAACTCTACCTGCAAAATTGAAAACAGAGAATCATCATTCTTTTATAGTATTTGGTGGAACACTAACAAAATCTGACCGTCTATTAGGCCACAAAACAAGCCTTGGTAAATTCCAAAGAACCTACACTACAGGTTGGGCATTCTGACTGTAACATAATCAGAAAAACAACCACCGATGGAAGACTGTGAAAGATAGTCCCGTATGTCTGTTTTATCAGGGTCCTGGTGAGAAAGAGAGGGACACCCAAGAGGAGGGGCTAGAGGAGATTTAATGAGAGGATAGCTCTCAAGTCTGGGCCAGGGTGAAGGGAAACCTGGAAGGGTAGTGGTGACTACTGAGGACAAGGGCAGTGAAGGAGTGGCCGAGAGAGAGAACCCAGCCTCCATCCAACTACACCCCCAAAAGGCTCAGAGCCAGGGGAAGGGACAGCCTAAGCACTCTCAAATGTCCCATCTGAATGAGTCTCTCATGGGCTGACCCCAACGGAGGCCAGAAGGCAAAGTGCTAGCGGAACCAGCCCACATATGCCACCTCCTGGACAGACAGGGAGACAGTGGGTGGGAAGTAGGTTTGGAGGGACCAAAAGGGAAATCTGCAAACACGTAGGACCAAACAACGATGAAAATCCATGTCACGTCAAACTGGAATGCACCTAAGCTGGAGCTGAGAGACAGGGCCAGAGGCACCCCCGCCGGGCTGGGCTTTCAGCTCATGACGGGTGTAGCACACTGACCGACTCACCGACCGACCGACCAAGGAGCAGCCCCAAAAACACAGGGAGCAAGGACATGACAGACACCAGGAAAGAGAAAACGGCAACCAGAAACAAACCAAAGGAGGTTCCCCAAGAGCTAGTTCTTGGAAAAGAATGAGATACAATAAAGACACAAATTAAATTCGGGGGGGGAGGGGTGGGGGGAGAGAAGGAAAGAACTAAAAACGGAGCACATTTAAAATAGGGAGCTATTGGGGTGCCTGGGTGGCTCAGTCGGTTGAGCGTCCGACTTCGGCTCAGGTCACAGTCTTGCGGTCCGTGAGTTCGAGCCCCGCGTTGGGCTCTGTGCTGACGGCTCAGAGCCTGGAGCCTGTTTCGGATTCTGTGACTCCCTCTCTCTGACCCTTCCCCGTTCATGCTCTGTCTCTCTCTGTCTCAAAAATAAATAAACGTTAAAAAAATAAAATAAAATAGGGAGCTATATCACTACCTACTACGTGCCAGTAATTTTGAAAAACTGGATGATATTGGAGGAACTTTTAATAAAATAGAAAATCTGACACAAGACGACACAGAACACATCGATACTAATAATGAAGCCCTCCCTCAGCAGCAGCTCTGGGTGGAGAGGACTTCACAGGCAAGTTCTACCCAACTTTCAAGAAGCAGTTCATTCTATCAAATCATTCTGAAACACAAGAAATCAGTGCTGCCTCGCTTACTTTACGAGGCCAGTGTAACCTTGACTCTAAAACCAGATGAAGGAAATCTAGGCCCATTTCACCCAGGAGATGCAGAAAACCTGAACACAATACCAGCTAGTCACCCTGTCAAGACTATCTAAAATAATACTGTTGTGTTTGAGTAAGGTTTATTCCAGGAAAGAAAGGCTCAACACCAGAAAAATCTGTCAATCTAATAAAGTGAGGAAAGGTCATCTTAACATATGCAAAAACAAACTATTAAAATTCAACACATAATTATATTTTTAAAATGAAAAACTCATGACAAACCAGGACTTGAAGAGAATATTTTCAACTTGGCAAAAGTTACATATCAAGAATTTAACAGAGACTCTTTCGATGTAACTCATTTAAAGTCAGGAATAAGACAGAGACGCCCCACTGGTTCCCACTGCAGTGGGAACCCTGCCACAGCTACAGAGAAAGGGAAATATGGTAGGACTGAAGTGGATGTTCGCACGGTCATTGTTTGCGGAGGATGTAATCACCTGCACCGAATAACCAATACAAAACTATGAAGAATGAGAGTTCAGCAAGGTTTCCAAACACAAAATCTACTGACAAAATTCCCTTTTGATTTAAAAACTGGTACAGTCTGAATAGGTTTGTACTTAAGTGAATATATAGCAGCAACGTCAATCTCCTGGTTTTGACATATTCTGATTATGTAAGATGCTGTCATCTGGGGAAGCTGGGTGAAGGGCACACAGGAACTCTCTGTATTTGTGCAAATTATTGAGTCTTAAAATATTGCAAAATAAAAAATTAAATCAATACCCTCTCTCTGCATTCTGATAATTCATCTGAAAACATAACTTAAAAAATAAGCACCATTCATACTGGCAACAAAATCTGTAAATGATCTAGGGATTCCTTAACCAAGAATAAACAGAACATTAAGACCCTAATACAGGACACAGAAGATGATTTGAGTGAGTACAGACCATCTATGCTCCTGGGTAGAATGATTTAACATAACGAAGATGTCAAGTTTCACTAAATTACTATATCAACTTAAAATCATCATAGCATAACCCCAGGTGCAGCTGTTGAGGAACTCAATAAACCTATTCTAAAATCTATTTAAAGTCAGAGAGGCCAGCTGTGAAGTGGGGGTGGGGTGGGGTGGGGGTGTGGCTCTCCCACAGGACATTAAGGCCTGCCCAGGGCATCCTCATAAAAAGCATGGTGTTGCCCAGTAACAGACAAACTGGTGAGAAACAGTGGCAAAATCACTTCTGCGTGGGAATTTGACACATTGTGTGTGTGGGGGGGAAGCAAGTTCTGTGACTCAAGGAGAGAAAGACAACCTCCATCTACAGATGAGCCGACGTTAAGGGCAGGCAACTAACAGAAAAGGAAGCTAGGAGATAAAAGCAGAGGAAGGGGTGCTCAGAAGCATCAGTGATGAGAAAACATGAAGGGAAGTAACAAGCAGCTCCCGCTGTAGTCATCTGACTGGACACAGTAGAAAATCGGTGACCCCAAACGTAGGGAAGGTCTGGGCCCTGAGAAGCCTGCGCATGCAGTGAGGGTGAGAACAGGGCCCTGTACTTGAACAAGTGAGTCCAGGGAGACGGCACCTCTTGGTTCATGAGACCCCTGCAGACACGTGTCTGCACCTGCTCCCGGCAGTGGGGCATCACAGGTGACCCTCTGGATCTACCCCTAAAGAATGCTGGGTAGATGGGGGAACCCACAGTGGATGTGGCACAGTGTTAACGGTGAGCAGCCTCATCGTGAGCTGGATGGACCCCCAAGTGCAGGCAGAACGGCAGGAACAGATAAGCTCCCCCGTGTACATCGTGTGGGGGAGGAGGGCTCCCCTGCATACATCGTGTGGGGAAGCTGGGTGGAGGCTGAGGATCCAGGGGCCGGCACGAGCAGGGAGAAGGGGTGTGGGAGCCACAGTCCCAAGGGTCCCATCCCGTGTGTGGTTTTCTATTTCCCCACGTGTATGTGCGCACGCGCCCCCAGACACTGGTGGTTCGGACGTTGGAGCCACGCGTCCTTAGTGCCACAGACAGCACTTTCAGTGCTGTGTAGCTTGACCTTCACGTGACAGGAACTATGTGAGGGCCTGGTTACCCATGGATTCTGGCACAGTGGCCTGGGCACGGTGGGGACTGGAGTTCTAGCTTCAGGAGAGGTGGCGCTGTGGCCACGGCCACACTTGAGGAGAAGGCCGGGTGGCATGCGGCTTCACCCACCTTTCAGCATTTATTTACCTGTTTGCGGTCTTCGGGGGCACTGCCCTAGGCAACGTGGACATTCGAGTATGTGTTCTGGTTTGGGGTTTTTGCCACGATGCCCAGTGCTGCTAGCAGCCACACTTTCTGGTCGAGCATGCAAGTGTTATCTCCAAGGCCTGCACTGTCAGGGGTGTGTACACGGAGTCACAGCACGTGTGCTTCTTTGGAACGTACCTGCAGATGCCGGACTGTTTCCGAAGGGTGTAAAAGCTGCCCCAGACGGGAGGCAAGCACCTGGGGCTTCTGCCCATCTGATGCTTGAAATGGCAACTCTTTACGGTTTTCATTTACCTCCTCTTGATTATAGTGAGGCTGAGAGTCACTCCAGCTGCCTGGTGGCACTGGGCTTTCCTCCTTGGCGAGTGCCCGAGGCAGCCCGGTGCCCTAGATCTGCAGCGGGAGCTCCCCACACACCCTGGGACAGGTCCTCCTTCCAGCGTGTGCCCCTGCGTCTCCCCTGGCTAGGCTCCAACACGAGGGCGCAGTACCACTACGCGCAAGTCCAGGACTATGGTTGGCGCACGCGGGGTGGCTTCAGGCTAGCCTGGTCCAGGAGGGCTCCCCTGCCTTCCTGGACCGCTGTTTAGTAACCCCTGGCTGTGGGCTGAGTTCCCGGCCTGCTGTCAAGGGGCTGCCTTCCCTGGCCCTTGGTCACTAAACGTGTCGGGTCCTGCTGACAGGTGCTATTGCTCTGGACCCACTGAGAGGCGCCCTCACCGGCCCTCAGCCGGGACTTTAACGAAGTCCTGGCGTAATGAAGGTTTAATGAAGAAGTACCGGTTCTCAGTAAGGCTTCATGATTTTCTACAAAACAGCCTCACAAAACTTTTGCTTCATTTATTCCCAGGAACTTCACAGGCTTGTCTCTATAAAATAATGTCTGTATTTAAATTACATTTCCAAAGTCTTCTGTTGCTAGCACAATTGTTTTACTCTGATTTTCACACCTTGCAACCTTGCTACATGTGCTCAATTCTAAGGTGGAGTCAGTGGGAACCCCTCTTCTGCAGACAATGTCAGTGTGAGTGTCCCTTCCGGGTCCACGTGTGTTCATGTTTCTGCCTTACAGGCCTGGCTGAGACTTCCTCGGGCCCCCCATCCTTTTCCTGATCTTGAAAATAGTGAGTTCAACATTTCCCACAAAACAGAGGCTTTTTTTTTGTTTTGTTTTGAGGTATCTCTGATGAGTCTTCATTTCTTAGGAAACTGGGATTCTCTTCTGGCATCATAGTCTAAATGGTAAGGTTTTTCCGTTTTTCTTAGTGGTTCATAAAGTAACCGTCTAACTTCCAATCAACAGCATCACAGATTTGATGAAATACGTTGCCAAAGAGACATTAGAAATACTATCAATAAATCCATCTGCTGTAGTCAATGCAAGAATCAAATACAGACAATTCTCAAAAGCATAAATGAAATTCTCAGAATTTGTTAGACTCCAGAGCTATGACACACATGTACTGTGTCAACCCAATGACAGCACTGTCTCAGGCCCAGACTCAGTGGGACCAGAACCTCTGGTATCTGCATCAGCAGAAAGACATGTCCAGGAGAAAACAGGAAAACATTTGGGACCCACAGCACTACCCAGTGACTCACGTCTATTGCTGAGGGGTTCACAACCAGTTTGCATCCAAACCAGATTAAACACGTAGTGGTGATGGCAAACGTGGACACAAACAGGATCTGAAAGTTAGGGATCTGGAAAAAAAACCAGGGGTTCACTATTTTTTGCATAACTAAAATAAAGGTATCACTGAATCAAATTCTAGGTAATTAAAAACCCCAAGATTACGACACATACACATAAGGATTAGCCAGGGAGGGTCCCTTGCAGCCCCTCAGGGGCAGGAGGCAGGGTATTCCAGGAAGCCCTGCAGTGGGGAGCACAAGGGCTACAGGCAGTGGAGGCACATCCCAGCATGCACACGCACACAGGTGCCCCTCAGCCCTGCAGGTGGCCTGGGCCTGCCTCCTGGGTCCACAGACTGCTGGTGCATTCTGCCATCCGAGGCTCTTCCACGGCCCAAAGCCACACTGCTGCCCCCACATCTGCAGAGACCGCACAGAAAGCCGGACTCACCGCATTGATGTTTCTCCTTGAAACAGCAAAGCTCACAATTGCCGAGGGAAGGCACTGAAAAGAAATCAGAGCTCCATGAGCCAGGGGCGAATCACCTAGACATCTGTACTTGCACTGCAAGGCTTAAGCTTCCAGAACGACCCAAGACATGCCAGCCAAACAAGTGCCACCAGTCAACTGGGCACAGGAGTGTTGGCAATGGTGAAAGGTCCTGTGACTTTCAAAATGACTTATTCTGGAAAATGTTTTTCTGAAGAGATGAAACAGACAGATAGTGAAACCTATTCTCACTAAATACACTTAGACGTCAAACTGTCACCTCTACCAATTGCACAAGAGCAGACTTCATCTCACCTCAAGAATTACCCCAAAGGGAAAAACATCTACATGTGAAGAATGTGGAAACAGGGGTCTCAGAGTCTCTAGGAGGCTTGATCCCCACAGAAGTAAAGAAAGAGGCAAGAGTGAAGGTGTCAGGGCAGTGGGGAGGTGAAGGGAAGGGCATCAGCTCGGGCCTTGTGGGCCACGCCAGGTGTTGCCCCTGTGGGTGACACGACCCCTGCAGACCCCGCAGTGAGCACAGCACAAGCCATGGAAACGGATCCCAGAGATTGCAGGACACAGAGCATAAGTTGGATGAGGGGGCCCCAGGGGCTATGCCTCCAAGAGCGGAGGGGGGGCTGGTGGGACCATGTGACCTGCTTCCCTAGCCTGTCCCTTCTGAAAGTAAAGAGCACCACCAAGGACTTGGCTGAGATACCCATCCCAGGTCAGTGTTGCCCTGGAGCATGGGGGTCAGAAATCACTGTGACCACCCGCCCAAGGAGGACTGCTCCAGTAGTGACAAGGGACCACCTAGAAGATTCCAGAGAGAACAGTAGGAAATGGGTCAAATTTCTGCAAGGACTTTTGTCCTAAGAGGGCAGAAGCCAGGTTCCCTGCCAGCCCACAGGACAGCCCGAAGCGACACGCAGCTGTAAGTTAGAAATCAAAGTGCCATTTCTTGCGTGGGACTCTATGGAGTGACATTCAGACTTGCTACATCAATCATTTTCAAAAGTAACAAATCTCGTTTAAAACTAAAGTCAGATAAGAACATTCTTTTTTTTTTAATTTTTTAAATGTTTTTATTTATTTTTGAGACAGAGAGAGACAGAGCATGAGCAGGGGAGGGGCAGAGAGAGAGGGAGACACAGAATCCCAAGCAGGCTCCAGGCTCAGAGCCCGACACTGGGCTCGAGCTCATGGAGTGTGAGATCATGACCTGAGCCGAAGTCAGATGCTTAACCGACTGAGCCACCCAGGTGCCCCAGATGAGGACATTCTTAATGAGGAGTAAGGGACAGCCAACTAGTAAATTTTGGAGCAAAGAAACTCAGAACCTCAAATTTCGGTACTAAAAGATGCAACTGAGGAACGATGCTTACCGATCCTGCAGCACAACGTAAGTAATCCATTTCGGAAGGAAACACATTTCCCAGATAAAGCGAAAACCCCGAAGTCACAAGCAGACAGCTCTGCAAAATAGCAGCACAAATAACACAGGCACATTGGAAAATCAGACAGCGAAACAACTAGTCCTCTGACTGCCTCCTGGGTCAAACTCAACAGTTTGTACAATGCCAACTTTGATGCCTGGATTCTGCCAGACCTGACTCCTCCCTGAAGAATGGCCATGACCCACTCTTCCCTCCAGCACCAGACTAAGGGCCTCAACATTTATTTGGGGGAGAGAGGGAGAGGTCTCTGTTGAAATTTAAAGCAAAAAACGGCACTTCTCCCCAGAACACACCCTTACCCCAATACGTACAATTTCAGGGGGTTTAGGATAACCCCCCCACACTCAGGGCCAGCCTCGGGGGCTGGCAAACAGCCCCACCCCATGCTCTCTGCAAAGCTAATCCAAGTGGACAGCTGGAAAATGCTCAAGTCAGGGGCTGCAGGCCCAAGAGACACCCAGGCCTCAGGTCACGTCTGAGAGATAGAAACTCACTACAGAGGCTGAGGCTGTGGGGCAGGGGTCAGTGTTAAACGACTCAGACAAAGGGTCTGGACTGGGGGGAAGTCATGAATGCCCCACTGTGACGGGAGCACTGGGACACAGGGGCCTGGGGAGCCAGGGAGACCATGGTACACACCTAAGTGAGGAGGGGAGGAGCAAGATTAAGTACCCTGGCTACAGGCAGCTGTGGGCAGCGCACAGAGTCCAGAGCCCTGGGACTGCGAGGAGGCTGAGCAGCTGTGTGATGTCAGCCCCAGGAACAGGGACGAGGAACTTCCTCTGCACCCCAGGCAGATGGGGGTTCCAGTCTCAGTAGGACAGGGTCACAGCTCAGGGAGAGGGTGGGCAGGACCACTGGGGGTGCTGCAGGGTGGCCTGGGGAAGCCCGGTGAGGGGCGAGGTCCCCACCAGGATCCTGGCTCTCAGCCTGGGTCGCACAGGAGACCCGGGGTCCTGCCTAAAGAGAGGTGTATCCAATGGCCCAGCCCCAGGCAAGCCTGCTCTCAGGCTGAAATGACCCCTTTAGTGGTCAAGTGCACACCCAAGCATGTCTGAAGGCAAATGTCCTGGCACCAGGTCTGCCCCCAGCTCTCTACTGACCCTGTCCCTCCAGCCCCTGGGCTTTCTCCTGCTCCATGGCCCTGACTTCCCATCCTGGGACACTGACCCACTGTTCAGTCTGCCAGAGGTCTGCCCTAAGAGCACAGCCCCTCCTCCCATCTTTGCAGGGCAACCCCAGACCACCCCCCACCAGGAGTGGAGAGTCATGGAGGCTACCCCAACAGCAGATGGTCAGCATGGACTGTCCCAACCCTGGTGGGACACAGAGAAGCCACAGCCAGAGGCCAACAGGGCTATTGTGGTAAATATTCGCGAACCGAGAAAAATAATTCAGAAAAAATAAGCAAAGTAAGCACATCAGCACACGTGAGACTCTCCAGAAGCAGAAATAACCTAGGATCTGCCCTCTCCCAGGCCACTTGGGAATGGCACCCAAAGCAGAAGACACCTCGTGGTGGATGGTGAAGAGCTACTCACCCCCATCAACACAGAGAGAACCCATGTCTTGTGACTGAAGCATGGAGGCAGCCTTGTCGACAGCTGAAGGTCGTTGGGCTTGGCGTCTGAGGTGTAGCTCCCGGCCTCCGGCCTTCCCCGCTCCAGGGTGGGCATCCGGTCATAACTGAGCTCCTCCCTGCACTGCTCATCCCGTGCCATGGTGCTCAGGGGACAGAAGCCACACAACAGATGCACTTGGAGCTCTGGAGTCACCTCTGCTGCCGCTTATTTACCAGTAACAAAATTATCATTTATTTTCAACAACTGAATAAACAACTCTAATTAAAGCACGTTGTTTCCAGCAAAAGAAACACCATCCCTACCAAGATGCTACAAGTTTGAAGAAAAAGTTAGCACCCAAGTCTGTAAGTAAGTAAAATCACTTTCCCAGTAAAACAACCCTGAATGGTCTGGATTCAGGGTGGAATTTTAGGTTTTAAGTGCCTCACTCCTGGGCTCTCCAGAACATTTCAAGCTTCACACTCATTAGCAGCTTCACTTACGAGTTCCATGACGTGCTGGTTCTCAAAGAACATTAAATTGCTCAAGGTGAGACCACAAAATACACACACACACTTAGCGATTTAACGTGGGCACGCTTACCTCCGGTGGTTTCTGGCGCTGGGAGGGCTGGTCTCTGGGTGAGGGGCCGTTACCAAGTCATCCTGCCCGGGGCTTCCAGCAAGAATTATTCACAAATGGAACAAAAGCCCAGCAAAACTGCACTTAAGCCAGGGGAAGGAGTGCCGCTTCCTGAATTTCAATGAGATGAAGAGAGTGACCCTGGAAAGTTCCCCGGTGGTTGTGTAACTGCTGGCTCAGAGCACTGCTCCGTGCCGTCTCAACTCTGCCAAAAATTAAGGGGTCCCTCAGTTCCACTGATGGCAGCTGGGTCACACACAGGTGCCACGGCAGGCATCTCACAGGAAAGAAGTGTACCTAAGAGTAGCACAACACGAAGCACCCAGTCCGGGCAGGGTGGAGTGCTGGGTGTCCATTTCTGAAACACCTTACTATCCAAACACCTTGTCATACACCCTTCAAAGCAGCTTTCTTCCATCGATGCTCTGAGATCATAGAGGAAGACCTTCTTCACGAGGTCACATGCACATTTGCACGTTTAACATGGCTGGCGTGGCCCTTGAACTGCTTGGAATTCTGACTCATTGGTTCCCGTGGGCAGCCCTAGCAGTCCTGCTGTGCCTTTTATTTCTGCTAAAGAAAAAGGACGGGAGTATGCTTCGCCCAGAGACACTGGCGCCCTGACAGTTACAGCAACAGTTTCTTTGTTGACATGGGAGCCATAAAGTAGCTCGAATCAAAGCATTCTGAAAAACCAGCTCCTCAAACTGCAAATCCACATAAAGCTTGAGCAAAGGCATTGGTTTTGAATAATGGGATGCTCTGTTGTCTTAGCTTTTCCACCAAGCAAAGATTAGAGTTTTCACAAACTATAACCTGGGAAGTTAAGAAGGGATTCTGAACAGATTGAAAAACCTCCCAAACTTCTTTATGGACTCCCTTTTAAATGATAACTGAATTAGTAGGAATTGGTGCGGTGAGATTGAACCCTTGGTGTTTCTTCTTGTTTGAAGAAAACGTCAAGCAAATTTCACCATTTCTGTGCCTTTCCAAGGTTGTTCTACCCCTAAGAAATGCAAGCTGCCTTGAATCAGAAATTGTGGAGCAAACTCTAGGCCCTGGAGTCCTAGTCACTTGAAAAATGCTTCCTTGTTTCCATTGGCAATACCGACGTTCAGAACAAATCCTGTGTTTCCACGGTATCTTCACATACACTACTGTTCCTAAAACGTTTTTCCTCCTTTTCCTGCCTCCTCAGATCCTACTCATGTTTCAACGTTTCCCTTGTCCTCCAATGAATGCTTACAGAAGGAACAGAGCAGTCCACAGTCCCTCCCGCCTGGAGTTTACATTCTAATGGCCGGACAGAAGCACACAAGATAAGTAGTGTGCTTTATGGTGGGGGAGGGAAGGAATGGGGGTTGCTGCTTGGGGGAGTCAGGGCAGGCCTCACTGAGGAGGCATCTGAGCAAAGACATGCAGAAGGCAAAGAGGGGAGTCTCGCAGAGAGCTGGAGCAAGGGTGCCACGGATGCAAAGGTCCTGAGGTGACCAGGCTGGAGGACGATGGACAAAGCAATCATATGAGGTGAGGCATCCAGATAGGAGGCACCTGTGGGCATGGAGACAACCTTAGCTTGGACTCTGAGATGGACGTGCCGGAAGGTTCTGCGTGGAGGAGCAAGCGGCTGCTGGGTGGACAACAGGCCACAAGAGAGCAGGTGCCGGCCGGGACTGAGGTGGGGCACAGAGGCGGTTTCGAGGAGCGGCCAGGTTTCAGGGAGAGCTTGAAAAGCCAACACGATCTGCAGTCAGCAAGACGTGGGGCGAGAGGGTCAGTAGTTCAGGGGGGCGGAAGGCTTCAGTCTGAGCAGGGCAGGTGCCGCTGTCCCACCTGACGTGCACAAGACTGGGGGAAGCAGGTGCGGAGGGAGGGTCCGCAGCGTCCTTCTCGCCATGAGACCGAAGGCTCCGCTGGGCATCCAGGTGGTCGCACTGAAAAGCTGGGGTGGAGAGTCCCGAATCCAGGCTGGCGGACACACGGGACAGTCCTAGGAAGTGGAAACTCCTGCTGCGCGTCACCCTCGCTCTAGAAGCCCGTCCGTGGCGCCCCCCGGCGGGCAGCATGCGCTGCACACCCCGCGCACCCGCGGGGGGGCCCTGGCACCCTTTCATGCTCATGGGTGTCCCCAGCGCCGAGTGCACCGCCAGGACTCAGCAGGACTTACTTCAGGCTCCGGGCGGGGGGTCCTCACCGCCGGGACGAGGAACCCCGCTCACACCGCGCTCGGGCGGAACCACGAGGGCCGTCCCGAGCCGCCAGTGCCCGGGTTCCCCGACCCCGGCACGAAGGCCGGCAACACCCGGAAGGTAACCACTGCTCCTGCAGACAAGGAAGCCCCAGGACTCGAAGCAACACCCACAAAGGCAGCGAGAAGCCAAACAAAACTACGGGTCACATTCTGGAGGATGCGGCCGAATTCGAGCTGAGACACGCTTACAGCCTGAAATGCCTAGGTTTGAGCAAAAGAAAGTTCCAGAACTCCGTGTCACCTCAAGACGTTAGAAAAACACAAATTAAATGAGAAAAAAACAAAAGGCAGGAAATAATAACAGTTCGCACCGACACCGAGACGCATGCTTTCTGAAGAGACGGATGAAGTCGGGGAACCTCTGGCCCGGAGGCGCAGGGGGCGGTCGGCGCGGCAGAGTCAGGGACACCGGCTCCTACCAACAGCCCCAGACTGGAGAAGGGCGCGGCCACCAGCATTCGAGAAAACTCCACCCGCGGCGCACGACGGACTCCAGAAGGTCGGAAACAGAACCTCCTCACCGCGGAGAGGTGCGCGCTGAAGGGAGGCGGACGGACACCTAGGCCGCGCGCACGCAAGAGGCCCCGCCCACCGCGCGACAGCGCGTGGCCCTCTCGCCCACCTGGCACCTCGCCTAGCTGAGCCGCGTGTCAACGGTCGCCAACGGCCAACCACCGACTACAAACGGTCGTGGCGCACGCAGCAACCCCATTGGCCGAGACGGCGGGCGCCTGCGCAGGCGCGGGCGGAGAGAGCCCATTGGCCGAAGTCTCAAAGCGGGGGTGGGGGGCGGGAGAGAGCGGGTGCGCAGGCGCAGGCGCGACAAGTCCATTGGTCCTGGGCGGCGGACCGCTTGCCCGCGTGAGGACACCTACAGAGGTGGCAGGGCCATGCTGCGCCTCGCGGCCAAGCTGGTGGCGTTCTTCTGGAGGAGGGCGGACGGCGCCGAGGGGGAGGAGGCCGGGCAGCCGGGGCCCGAGCTCGCGGAAGGTGCCTGGGGGTAGGGCCCGGGGCCTGGGTGCCCCGGGGTGTGTTGCTTGAGCTGCCGGAGCCTGAGGCCAAACAGAATGCAGGGCTGTTCGGAAGTGGGAGGAGGGGGACAAGAGCCGGAGGTCGTGAGGTCGTGGTCCCGGGGTCCCTGATGGAGTTTCCAGCCGCGAGCCGGTGTGCATCGTGAGCGCGCTCTGAGAGATGCTGCCGCCTATCGTTCGCTCTTTGAGGTCAAAGCGAAGGTGTGACCGTAGCTGAGCAAGGCCTCGTGTGGACTATGATTTAAGGGTGTTGGTCTTCCTTTGGGTTTGCGCCGCCTCCGGGTCCTTCTTGTTTCCGCTTTGAAGTGTTAAGCGCGGCGGGCTTTCTCGTTTCTGTCGTCACCGCCACTTGCGGTTGCGTGTTTGGAAAGCTCTGAAAAGTGCAGCCCGAGCTGTCCCAGGTTGCCCTTTCGCAGTTCACCCTGAGCTGTCGCAGTTGTCCTTTCGCAGTCCTATGTTGTCCTGCCTTTCCTCTCGAGAAGGCCTTTGAGGCTCTCTTGGTCCGGTCTGGACTGTGTTGGGACTCTGGTACCTGGTGACCTTGAGCTGACTGGACTCAGGGTGCTGATTGTGCAGTCGCTTTCTCTGGCCGAAGACGTGACGTCCTCCTGAGAAGGGCCCGAAGCCGCAGCCGGCGCGTTAGGAGTTGAGGGCAGCGCCCTGCGAGCCGTATGTACGCAGACCTGCTGACGCCCGCATCGCCGTCTATAACCTGGAGCCAGTCCCTTCAATCAGCCCGGGGCCTGCCGGTTAAATCCGGGCTGGGAACCTCGGCCGGAGCTCCCGCGCCGGGCTTGCTGGCGGCGGTGGGGAGGCGCGCCGCGTGGACGGGCGCGTGCCCTGTCTCTGGGCCAGACTTCACCCCAAGCCCGGAATCTCCTGGAGCACCTCGTTTGGGGAGGGGACACAGAATCTAACGCCTTGCCGGCGGGATTGGAGAGGCGGGAGGGTGGGAATCCCAGCACAGGGCGATGGTTCTCCGGACGCCAGCGTAGGACAGTGGTGCTTTATAACCTGGGCCGGCCGCTCAGAAATCTGTGCCCTGGACCGCTCGCCGCCGCCACCCAGACAGCTGTCTTGGGTGGAGACTGTAACTGCCTCCACTTTACAATTGGGAAGAGGCCCAGCACGGTTAATGGGGAAGGACCTAGCCCAGAGATAAAGTGGCAGCAGGAGAGCTGGGACTCAAACCCAGGTGGTGTGGCTCTCGAGTCTGAGCTCCCCCCACTGGGTCTGCTGCCTGTGACACCCCTCAGAGGAACTTGGGCAGTCTACCTCAAACACCCTGCTTTCTGAAGACTACCCCCCCCCCAACTGCAGAGGGTTCCAAACTTCCTGGATGCGCCTGTCCTCCACCTTTCTCTGGTGGGGCTTAATCATAGGGTGGGCTTGCTTTACTCATGGGCCTTGTAACGTCTTTGTTTATGCATCTCAGGTGACGCCAAGCTGAAAACCGTCCAGGGTGTCGTGACAAGGTACTGCGGCGATTATGGCATGATTGATGATTTGATCTACTTCTCCAGTGAGGCTGTGACTAGCAAAGTGCTTCTGAATGTTGGACAGGAAGTTATTGCACTTGTACAAGAAGATAAAGTGTCGAGTGGACTGAAAGCAATTAGGGTAAGGCCTGAGTTGTTTGTGAAGTCTCTCTTCACCATGGGGCTTTATGTTTCCATCCTTTTTTTTTTTTCCAATTAAAAAAATTTTTCATGTTTATTTATTTTTGAGACAGAGACAGAGCGCAAGGGGGGAGGGGCAGAGAGAGGGAGACAGATTCCGAAGCAGGCTTCAGCTCTGAGCTTCCACACAGAGCCTGACACAGGGCTCCAATCCCTGAACAATCATGACCTGAGCCAAAGTCAGATGCTTAATCAACTGAGCCACCCAGGTGCCCATCCATCCTTCTGTTTAGTTAACCTCTTACAGACAACGTGGGAGAGACAGGGAGTGGAATGTACCTTCTTGGGGCTGCTTTTGTTTTTATAATGATTTCTGCCTTAAAAAACTAACGGTGGTCATCATATGTTATTCAGACTACAGAAATTTGTAATTTAGGAAGTAAAGCTCGTTGGTAATTTTATGCTCTGGAAAAGAGCACTTAACATTTCTATTTCTTTTTTTAATGCTTATTTATTTTGAGAGAGCGTGCACGCGCATGCACAAGTGAGGGAGGGGCAGAAAGAAAGAGAGAATGAATCCCAGGTGGGCTCTGCACCATTATTAGTGCAGAGCCAGATTCAGGGCTCAATCCCACAAACCGTGAGATCGTGACCTGAGCCAGTTATCAAGAGTCGGATACCCAACTGACTGAGCTACCCAGGGGCCCCAACATGAGTATTTCTTATAGTCTTTTAAAAATTTGTTAAAAATGTTAATCATTAGGGTGCCTGGCTGGCTCGGTCAGTGGAGAGTGCAACTCTTTTTGTTGTTGTTGTTACTTTCTATAATTTACATATTTTTTATAATGTACATCCAAGTTAGCACGTTATTTCAGGAGTAGATTCCTTAAGCCCCTTACCTGTTTAGCCCACCCCCCCACAACCCCTCCAGCAACCTCTGTTTGTTCTCTGTATTTGAGTCTCTTATGTTTTGGGTTTTTTTTTAATTTTTTTTTCAACGTTTATTTATTTTTGGGACAGAGAGAAACAGAGCATGAACGGGGGAGGGGCAGAGAGAGAGGGAGACACAGAATCGGAAACAGGCTCCAGGCTCTGAGCCGTCAGCCCAGAGCCCGATGCGGGGCTCGAACTCACGGACCGCGAGATCGTGACCTGGCTGAAGTCGGATGCTTAACTGACTGCGCCACCCAGGCGCCCCTCTTATGTTTTGTTTTTATATTTTGCTTCCCTTCCCTTATGTTCATCTGTTTTGTATCTTAAAGTCTTCATATGAGTGAAGTCACATGATATTTGTCTTCCTTTGACTAATTTCGCTTAGCATAATATCCTCTGGTTCCATCCTTGTAGTTACAAATGGCAAGATTTCGTTCTTTTTTATTGCCAATATTCCATTGTATATATATACCACATCTTTATCCATTCATCCATCAATGGACATTTGAGCTCTTTCCATACTTTGGCTGTTGTCAATCATGCGGCTATGAACATGGGGGTGCATCTGCCCCTTCAAAACAGCATACCTGGATCCCTTTGGTAAATACCTAGTAGTGTAATTGCTGGGTCATAAGCTAGTTCTATTTTTAATTTTTTGAGAACCTCCATGCTGTTTTCCAGAGTGGCTGCACCAGTTTGCATTCCCACCAGCAGCGCAAAAGAGATCTCTTTTTCCGCATCCTCCCGGACATCTGTTGTTGCCTGAGTTGTTAATGTTAGCCATTCTGAGGTGTGAGGTGGTATCTCATTGTGGTTTTGATTTGTATTTCCCTGATGATGAGTGACGTTGAGCATTTTTTTCGTGAGTCAGTTGGCCATCTGGATGTCTTTGGAGAAGTGTCTTTTTCCCATTTCATCACTGGATTTGTTTTTTGGGTGTTGGGTTTGATAAGTTCTTTATAGATTTTGGATACTAACCCTTTATCTGATATGTCATTTGCACATATCTTTTCCCATTCCAGTGGTTGCCTTTTAGTTTTGCTGATTGTTTCCTTCTCTGTGCAGAAGCTTTTATTTTGATGAGGTCCCAATAGTTCATTTTTGCTTTGGTTTCCCTTGCCTCTGGAGACGTGTTGAGTAAGAAGTTGCTACGGTGAACGTCAAAGAGGTTTTTGCCCACTTTCTCCTTGAGGATTTTGATGGCTTTCTGTCTTACATTGAGGTCTTTCATCCATTTTGAGTTTATTTTTGTGTCTGGTGTAAGAAAGTGGTCCAGGTTCATTTTTCTGCCTGTCGCTGTCCTGTTTTCCCAGCACTATTTGCTGAAGAGACTGTCTTTATTTCATTGGATATTCTTTCCTGCTTTGTCAAAGATTAGGTGGTCACACGTTTCTGGGTCCATTTCTGGGTTCTCTATTCTGTTCCATTGATCTGTTTTTGTGCCAGTACCATACTGTCTTGATGATTACAGCTTTGTAGTAGAGGCTAAAGTCTGGGATTGTGATGCCTCCTGCTTTGGTTTTCTTTTTCAAGATTGCTTTGGCTAATTGGGGTCTTTTGTGGTTCCATACAAATTTAGGATTGTTTGTTCTAGTTCTGTGAGGAATGTGTTATTTTGATATGTAGATTGTTTTGGGTAGTATTGACATTTTAACTATATTTGTTCTTCCTATCCAGGAGCTTGGAATATTTTTCCATTTTTTTGTGTCTTTTTCAATTTCTTTCATAGGTTTTCTATAGTTTTCAGTGTGTAGATTTTTCACTTCTTTGGTTGGATTTATTCTTAGGTATTTTATGGGTTTTAGTACAATTGTAAATGGGATCAGTTCCTTGATTTGTGTTTCTATTGCTTCATGATTGGTGTATAGGAATGCAACTGATTTTTGTGCATTGATTTTATATTTTGTGACTTTGCTGAATTCGTTGATTACTTCTAGCAGTTTATTGGTGGAATTTTTGGGGTTTTCCATATAGAGTATTATGTCATCTGTGAAGAGTGAAAGTCTGACCCCTCCTGGCCAATTTGGATGCCTTTTATTTCTTTGTGTTGTCTGATTGCTGAGGCTAAGGCTTCCTATACCATGTTGAATAACGGTGGCGAGAGTGGACATCCCTGTCTTGTTCCTGACCTCAGGGGGAAAGCTCTCAGTTTTTCTCCATTGAGGATATTAGCAGTGGGTCTTTCATATATGGCTTTTATGATCTTGAGGTATGATCCTTCTGTTCTTACTTTCTTGAGGGTTTTTATCAAGAAAGGATGCTGTATTTTGTCGAATGCTTTCTCTGCACCTATTGAGAGTATCACGTGGTTCTTGTCCTGTCTTTTATTGATGTGATGAACCAGCCCTGCATCCCAGGTATAAATCCCACTTGATCCTGGTGAATAATTTTTTTAATGTATTATTTGATCCAGTTGGCTAGTATTTTGTTGAGGATTTTTGCATCCATGTTCATCAGGGAAATTGGTCTATGGTTCTCCTTTTTTAGGTGTCCTTTTAGGGAATCAAGGTAATGTTGGCTTCATAGAAAGAGTTTGAAAGTTTTCCTTCCATTTCTGTTTTTTGCAACAGCTTCAAGAGAATAGGTGTTAACTCTTCTTTAAATGTTTGGTAGAATTCCCCTGGAAAGGCATCCGGCCCTGGACCCTTGTTTTTTGGGACATTTTTTATTACTAATTCAATTTCTTTACTGGTTGTGGGTCTGTTTAAGTTTTCTATTTCTTCCTGTTTCAGTGGTTTATATGTTTCTAGGAATTTGTCCATTTCTTCCAGATTGCCTATTTTGTTGGCATAAAATTCTTCGTAATGTTCTCTTACTTTGTATTTCTGCCGTGTTGATGTGATCTCTCCTCTTTCGTTCTTGATTTTATTTGGGTCCTTTTCCTTTCTGATCAAACTGGCTAGTGGTTTATCAATTTTGTTGATTCTTTCAAAGAACCAGCTTCTGGTTTCATTGATCTGTTCTACTGGTTTTGTTTTGTTTTGTTGTTGTTTTGGGGTTTTTTTTGGTTTAGATAGCATTGATTTCTGCTCTGACCTTTATTATTTCCTGTCTTCTGCTGGTTTGGGGTTTTATTTGCTGTTCTTTTTCCAGCTCTTTTTTTTTTTTTAATGTGTTTTTTATTTTTTATTTATTTTTGGAGGGGAGAGAGAGAGAGACAGCGTGAGCAGAGGAGTAGCAGAGAGAGAGGGAGACACAGAGTCCGAAGTAGGCTCCAGGCTCTAAGCTGTCAGCACAGAGCCTGATGTGGGGCTCGAACTCACCAACTGTGAGATCATGACCTGAGCCAAAGTCGGATGCTTAACCGGCTGAGCTACCCAGGCACCCCTTTTTCCAGCTCTTTAAGACTTAAGGTTAGGTTGTGTATCTGACCTTCCTTCCTTCCTTAGGAAGGCCTGGATTGCTATATACTTCCCTCATATGACCACCTTTGCTGCATCCTGGAGGTTTGGGGCTGTGGTGTTATCGTTTTCATTGGTTTCTATGTACTTTTTAATTTCCTCTTTAACTTTTTGGTTAGCCCATTCATTCTTTAGTAGGATGGTCTTTAGTCTCCAAGTATTTATCTTTCTACATTTTTTCTTGTCGTTGATTTTGAGTTTCATAGCATTGTGGTCTGAAAATATGCATGGTATGATTTTGATCTTTTTGTACTTGTTGAGGGCTGATTTGTGTCCCAGTATGTGATCTATTTTGGAGAACGTTCCATGTGCACTGGAGAAGAATGTGTATTCTGCTTTAGGATGAAAATGTTCTAAATATATCTGTTAAGTCCATCTGGTCAGTGTATCATTTAAAGCCATTGTTTCATTGTTGATTTTCTGTTTAGATGATCTACACATTGCGGTAAGTGGGGTGTTGAAGTCCCTGAGAGTGCAACTCTTGATCTCAGAGTTGTGGGTTTGAAAATGTCCTACATTGGGTGTAGAGATTACTTAAAAATAAATTTTTTTTAAAAAAAGAATCATTGGACCCTTTTTTCTAAATACAAGAGAACAAATCTACACCTGTATTTATTTACTTTCCAGTCATTTTAAATCCTCAAGGGGTACAGCGTCCCATGGATTC